TAAATATATTGAAACTTATTTACAATTTCCGGTTACTTTTTGTATAAGAAACTATATGATGGACAGTCGATGACAAATGAATGAGAGCAAGCCGATGCGAAACAAAAGTACTTTTAAATACGGCAACTCACAGCCAAAAGTGAAAATTCGCTTAAATGCCTACAAAAGTGTGAGTTGTATGTGTGAATGCGGGTATATCCTTGTCATTTGGCACGTCGTTATTAAACTCTGTCTGTCGTTCCGCTGTCATATTTGTATGTAGTATGTGCTCATTGTTTGTTGCTCTTGTGGCATATCGCTTGTGTTGTTGTTAGTGTCGCATTATTGTCACTGTGCTCCAGACTTTCGGCGAAGGAAGCATGAGCATATACGGCCTATCGCATGACTACTTCATTGTTATTGTTGTATCAGCTTCTGAACATTGTTTTTTCAACACATATATATTATTTTTGTTGTTGTTAATGTTGTAACATTAAGTGTTTCAAGGAAGGCGACAACTTCCTTGCGCTGAGGATGTGTCTGCGCAAAAGCACCGCCAGTGTGCGATGACAATGTCAACAACAACAACAGCACACAGCAACTTGGGTAAATGATGTGTTTGGCAATTGAAGAAAGGACGAAGGAAAGGCAAACACGCATGAGATATGCAAGGGTATCGCAATAAGAAGCGGCATTTATGCAAGCGGGGATTAAAAACAATCGAATGGACAGGCATGCATGCATGCACGCAAGAAAAAAACAACAACAACTACACATTCAGCGAAAAGTGCATAAAAATCAGACAATGAGAGTCGCAAATGATAAGAGCAGATTTAATAATTTACAAACACACATGCACATGCACAGAAGATGCGAGCGTATGAAAGCGCGTAATTGAAGCATTCACAAATCCATATGCATGTGCACACACACATTCACACTGCAACGCGTATTTAGACTGCTTAGGACACTTACTACGTTTTCGCATCGCATAACTCTTTCATAGACGCTCACTCAAGTATGCTTTGCGTATAATACACTCTTGCAACATTACGGCTGCTCCTATGCCCGCACAGCTATTTTTGTTAGGGTCAGCGTTGAAACGGTTTTGCTTCGTTTGCCTCGACGGTTCGCAATCATATTACGACCGCATGTGTTGACTCGGCTGGGCATACTTGCCTTTGCTGCTATGCTTGCCAGCAGCAATTTCGACAAATTTTGGACTTTCTTTTTATTTTTTTCGTAATTTTCAGCTAGTCGCGGTTTTTACACCCTTAACATACTTTGTAAAATAAATATTATATAGCGGTGGAGTCTGTCACCAAAAGTTGTGCTTTGGATTTACAAACCATAATTAAGCCAATCACTTGTTATAGCCCTAGAGTGACTGTAACAGACTGGTGTCTAATGACTCATTGGATTGAAACTAAAGAGGTAACACTTCTCCAACCTGCTGAATGGCAGTGAAAGCGTAACACCAGGAGATGGTGAACCCGATTCCCCAATCGAAGACGATGAATCACACGTTCCATTGTCCGAACATGTAAGAGTTCGCATAGCAATTATGCGTCTCAAGAACAACAAAGCTGAAATATGGTGGCAAAGAACTAACATAACAAAGAACTAACATAACAAGCACGCTTCAACTTTTTTTTAGTTTATGGTCAGATGAAAGCATGCCCGCCGATTGGAATTTCAGTGTGCTCTATCCAATCCACAAAAAAGCAGACCACAAAATCTGCGTCAACTATCGTGCGAAAAGCCTCAGCAAAATCGCATATTAGGTTTATCGAGCGTACTGTGTAAAAGACTGAAGCCCACCGTGAACAAATTGATTGGACCTTATCAGCGTGGCTTTAGACCTGGAAAATCTACAATCGACCAGATTTTCACCATGCGCCAAATCTGGCAAAAGACCCGTAAAAGGAAGATCGACTTCCCCTCTTCGTCGATTTTAAAACCGTATTCGACAGCACGAAAAGGAACTGCCGTTATGCCGCTTTGTCTGAACTTGGTAACCTCAGTTAATAAGTCGGTATTACGAGTTTTCGCCATGCATTCGGGTCATAGATAGCTCGTAAGTGGAAGGTTAACGGTTCATTTAATTTTTAGCGTTTAGCAAGGCTCACAACGACACTATGTTAGGAGTCTAATAATTAAGTTTATATACTGAAACTTTTTTACATGTAAGGGTGTTCTAGCCTCGGTGCAACCGAAGTTAAGGATTTTTCTTGTTTTGAGTCGTAACACTGCTGAATATTTTTTGTATATATACATACATACACATATATGAAAAGTATAATTGATATACGCTCATGTGCGATTTTTGGACTTGTTTACTTTTTGCTCGCGTTGCGGCAGGTGGTGGTGGCATTTCGTTACGTGCATTTGCCACATTATGAGCGCATTAAGGCAACAATATCATTGACAATAACACAAAGGCATTCAACAATGCAAACATACGAATAAACAGCGAAATAAACAGTTGCAACATGCAAAAGCGTAGCGTAAAGTGAGCCGCTCGACGCTCGCTACCTTGACCCCATTGCAAATGAGCTGAGCACAACCATTGTTTACTTGTAACTACAAGAGTCACTGCAAACATGCAACAGCCAACAAATTGTGCATTCAATTATGTTTGTTGTATTTACATTTGCGTTCTTGTAACTAAAATTGTTATTGTTGCTACCAAATTCAGCTACCTCGAAAGTGACAATAAAATATGGAAAACTTGATGCACATTTGAGAACATATCTGGATTTGCAATGATGGGCATTGTATACAAATTTATAGTGTATGTATAAATATTTGTAGGAAACTGCAAACATTAATCGATGATTTTTTCCGAACACAAGAAGAGTTCCAGAATCTTCGGGAGTCCTTCAAGGGGTCATTTCAAAACGATTAAAAGCACCCAGATACATTAATTTATAAGTTCGAACACTGGAGTTTTTTTTTTCTATAGCTTCACAAAGTAATACGTATACCAGTCCACTTGCGATCTCTTTAGATCAGTCATCTAATCTAACCTAACCCGGATACATTCAAAAGCTAGGAAAAATTTTGTATATTTAAATAGCGCCATGGTCGCTGTATTTTTGCCATCATGACAACGCTTGGCCTCGTGTTACATGACTTCTTTGGAAAACTGTGGCTGGGAAGTTTTGCCTCACGTGCCTTATAGCAAAAACTTAAAAAAAAAATCGTTTCTACTAAATTTAATGCATAAATATGCATATTGCGAGCTCAAAAAAGTTTACGCAGGTGCTGTCCCAAGTGAAACAACGTTCTGTTACTAGTTTCGTCGCTTCAAAAGATTAAGAAAAAATATGCAGTTACGGACAATATAATAGAATTATCCATATTACCACTTTTGCGTTAAAAAAATATGAATTTGATTTAAATTCAACTAAAGTATATATTTATTATTTACTATAGGTGACGTGCTATTATTAAGATTAAAAATATTGCAAAAAAACAAAAATCATATACATATATTGAAAAAAAAAACAAAGGTAAAATAAAAATTTCAAAGTTCGGAGGACAAAAAAAAAATTATATTTTACATGAAAAATAATACTTTTTATGGATTATTAGTTCAATTAGTTTGTATTTTGTAGTATATCATTTATCGTTTAATATAGATACAAATCTTAAAAGACTTAGGCTGTCCAATAAAACAGAATACCAGACCTTAGGACCTACGCTCACAGTTTCACCTTATTTTTCGGTTCAAGGCCCTAATATTTTCCTTAACGATTCTACATAAAATCTTTATTGGTTTTAGTTTTGGCAATTGTGCTGGCTAAGACCTAACATCAATACCATGATCTGAAGTATGTTCGGGTCGCTCTCTTATTGGAATTGCCAATTGAAGGCGAATGTATAGTATATGTAGCGGTCCATGTTTTCTTACATTTAAAAAATATGTCCGCAACCACACTATGGGAAAGAGCTTTAAACCATTATATCCGACATGGGGTTTGAATATCTTTGTTTTTTTTACCATCACTTCCTATTTTATTTTTCTGTCGTTTTGCAAACTGATTTTGATTGCAATTATGCCGTTTCCTCAGCATTGGCACCTTTCGTTGCAATGTGCCTAAGAGATTTCTCTCCACAAGTCGTCTTCTTAACGTTTTTGAAGAAATTTAACTCCTTTAATTCTTGTTGAATGGCTGCAGCGATCTTAAACGAATCGCGCATCGACAATCCTGCAATATGTATTTTGATCGACTTCCGTTACAACTTGGTCAGCGAATTTTTTCACCTTTTTTCGGAAATTTTAAGCCATCAAACACACATTTTTGGTACATAATCACTGTGTTTAGAAGTTCCCTTTGCATGTGACATTTTCCTTGCAAATTTTGGAGCACAATCTTTCCTCCTCTGAACAATGCTTTGCTCGACCTATTTATCTACATACTTAAATACATAATTGCAACAAATATTCGTTCCACAGATCTAATTAAGTTAACATAACAACATATTGCGCTTTTTAATTTCAATATTTTTCGTTTATGAAATCATTTCGATTTTGAGGCACGTTATTTACTTTTTAAATTATTGTTGAGTGTAAAACTGGTTAATGCTCATCTTTACTCCTTTTTAAAAGTAGATGTAGAGATGATTTCATTGCATTTGTCATAATGTGAAAAAGTTAAGGCATAAATGAAAAAAATATAGCAATTATGGTTTTTGAAATATTTGCATAAAAAATTTAACTATTTAAAGTTTCGGTGTACATATATATGGTTACGTACGGATAAAGGCGGTTTATCCCATACCCATACCCATACCCATTTTAACTCCGAAATCGGGGGATGCTATTCTAAATACAACCTTTTTTACGAAAACAAAGTAGCCAAAAAACGTTGACTAAAATAAAACATGAAGTTAAAACATAGCGCAAAAAGCATACATGAATGTGCATGTTTATACTTTTTTTTTTTTTTTTTTTGTTTGTGGAGTAGCTTGCAACTAAACGCTTATAAAAATGTTAACATAAAAATAATATTTACATTTAATGTGGCAATGCGGTCATTAGTTGCCTC